CTATAAAATTATCTATATCTCTAAACAATGAAGTGTGCTATGCATGCTAGAAATAAAAAGTGAATACTAATTTTAAATACCTACTTTAACCTTTCTTCATCCAAATATGCAAACTATAAGTTATTTTGAGCTCAAATTGTTTACAAATAAAAAAAACATGCAAGCTTGAAGTTTAAAGGTTTCCAGAGCGTTTAACACTACTCTGCTTGCCGAGAAAGTTGCTAGTGTTGTGTCGATTGCATTTTTCGTGGCCGTGGCCATGGTCATTGTGTTCTCGTCTTTTACTGCGGTATGTAAGTAATTCACATGATATTTCCGCAAATTAACAGAAGAATGGGAGTGTACACACATAACAACCGATTATCGTTTATATTTATATATATACTACGTTTGGGTACGGTGATTGACAGACTACTGCGACGATATCAGGACATGTGAATAAATAACCATTCATACTAGTTGACCTTGCTTACGTGATCATCTCGGCGAGCATTTCTCCACCGGACGGCACCGTACTTGACCACGGAAGAGCTCCGATTCTATGAGGAAGGAAACACGGTCTTCCACGACCGTTGCCGCTCTCCCTCGTAGAATCAAAGCTCCTCCTTGACGTCCGTTACCGCTCGGCAGAGAACATGCTCGTCGAGATAAACACGGTCCGTAAGTTCAACTAGCTACTTTAACCTTCCTTCACGTAAATATGCAAGCTTGAAGTGATTTTGAGCTCAAATTGCTTAGAAATGAAAAAAACCACAATAAAAAACCATATATATAGTGAACAAAATGGGATAAGACAATGGTGAAACATGAGAGTATGAAGTTGGTAACCTTTAGAACCGAAGAATCGACGGAGGAATCGAAGAAATCGACGGAGGAATCGAAGAATGGATGGAGAAAGAGCAAGAACACTGCTTAAATTTGAACTGAAGCTCTCGGACGGGCTCGGGGAGGAAGAAGACGACCAATAGGATTTATAGGGGGACCTTTAGTCCCGGTTGGTGGATCCAACCGGAACTAAAGGTCACTTTCCAGTCCCGGGCCACGTCACTAGCCGGGACAAGAGATTTACTCCCGGTTGGAGCCACCAACCGGGACTAAAGGTCGACCTTTAGTCCCGGTTGGTGGCTCCAACCGAGACTAAAGGTCCCCTGCCACAACGGCCTGGCGCAGGAGCCGTTGGGCAGGGACCTTTAGTCCCGGTTGGAGCCACCAACCGAGACTAAATGTCTCTCTAGTCCCAGGCGCAATATTTCCCAGGACTAGAGCCTGGTTTGGCCCTTGGATCAAATTTCTGTTCTCTACTAGTGAATTAATCGGTCATTAGCACATGTGGGTTACTGTAGCACTTAAGGCTTTTCATGGACTAATTAGACTTAAAAGATTCGTCTCGCGATTTCCAACCAAACTATGCAAATAGTTTTTTTCGTCTACATTTAATGCTACATACATGTGTCGCAAGATTCGATGTGATATTTTGGGGTGAAATTTTTTGAAAACTAATCAGGGACTAAGCTAGGGTAGCTAGTGGATGTGTGCTAGATGGCGATGAAAGCGAGAATGGAAGAACCCGGAGGAGGAAAAAAGGAGTGATAATCTTGACATGGACGTTGTGTCGATCAGGGGAAACGAACAAAACAAGGTCGATCAGGCCATCAGGGGTATAGCCAAATGACAATGCAAGTAGCTTGTATCCTTGTGCTGGATAATTAATTACTTCTCTATGAACAAGTTGAGCTCGGCAGTCGTCAGCTATACAATTTCTCCCATTCTGACGTCCTCGTCAGCCTGTAAAGTGGTGAAAGTGAATTGAGCATGTATCGAAGGTTGGTTTGACTACTAGATGCCCTAGCTAAAACGCCGGTTTGGCCATAGATTCAAGAGGAATTAAGCTCCGGTGGAACTAGATGTGCAAGGAAAGCATGGCGATCTTTTGGTCAGGCCATCTGATCCACAAGAAACCAGTTTTGAATTCAGAGACATCATGATAATTAACAGACCAGGGCTTCGTTCGCTTCACTGAAAAAACAAACCGAAACACTGTTCTGGCTGATTTGTTGTGAGAGAAAAACACTGTTCCAGCTAAAAAAACAAGTTGAAATGGACGGATTATAAGAAAAGCGAACATGGCCCAGAAGGGAAACAAGAGTTCTTGTTCGCCTTGATTTCACCATCTCTTGAGCCATGGCGTCAGCCTAACTGGGACCCCATAAATACGATTAGTGTACTACACGCCGCCCTTCGTTAAGCTAAATAAACGACGAGGCTGGCTAAACATGCATGAATCTTCACATACGCACGAGGGCATTGCTGCATGCGTACTGGCTCCGTTCGCGTGCCCTTAAATTCGGCTTGATTCACTTCTTTTTTTATCTGGAACAATGTTTTTCTCTCATAAATTCCTCCAAGCGAACAGGGTCTATTAGGAAGAATATTCTTGAGAGCAGCTAATTGCTCTGTTCGTTTGGCTGATAAGACATGACTAAAAGTACTGTTGGCTGATTTGTTGTACAGAAAAATACTATTCGTTAACTAAAAAAGTAAAACTTATAAACTAAGCGGACTGAACGAATAAGCATGTGTCGCTCCTAGCTAACCAAGAAGTCTGACCCGGAGAAGCCTCTCCAACTAGTACAACGTTAACCAACTGTGGATGAGGAGGTCCCGTTTCTTACTGTTAAGCAACGCAAGAAATCCAAAACTGAAGCCGAACGATACCTAACACCCCTGCATTAGTGCAGAACTGTGTTGTCGTCTTGCTGCCATCATGTACTGGATTAGTCTAATTGTGTCTAGGCATCTCACCTCCCATTGGACGTGAAGAAGAAAAGGTTCTCCTCCCCTCCCCTAGTGCCAAAAAAACAAAGGGCAAAGGGCAAGATCAAGCAAGTGGTCGCAATCAGAGATGCACAGTTGTACATGCATGTTCTGGAATCTGATCAGTGGACTCAGAGTGCGAATCAATCAGTCAAGGTGCTAAAAAGTAGCTACAAATGTACACGCTTCTTCATATTATGTATCCCACTAGTTTTGTTGAATCCGCCTCCAATTGAGGTTTTATAGAAGCATTTAATGATGGAGGAGATGTCTTTTATTAGAATGAAACTGGATGTACACTGTTTTCAAAACTATAAGATTATGAAACGTGGAACTATCATTCTAAATTTTGACCAAATATATATATATAAAAATATTCTCTCGATTTATTTTGGAACAGAGGGAGTAGGCACGTTTGGATCTCTTGCCATGAACGACACTGTTTGATTTGTTTATCTATTCTCTCGATTTATGCTTAAAAAGTTTTTATTGCTAGCAAGGGTGAGTCAGAACTGTTCTCCATTCCTAGCAAAGGCTAGCCTTGTCGAATTAGATAAGGCGATGTGGGTACGTGAGAAAACCAAATGCATCCTAATAATTTGTTCCGGTGGGTGAGCTAAATGGGCTCCTGTGGCGATGCAAGGCAAAACCACCAAATGGGCTGCTTGGTTCTTTTTTCCGTGCACACCCGTCAACCAGTCGTAGAACACGGCATCTTTTTTCCGTGCACACACCGGCCGCTCGCCGCCAACGCGGGAGAGCAGAATCGGCTTGCCTGGTTCGGCAAGGAAAAGCTTTGCCCAAACAAGTTAGCTTGCTAAGCAAAGCAAGGTCCTAAGAGGGTGTTTGTTTCTTTAGTCGCTCCTAAAATTCATATCACATCGAATGTTTAGATACTAATAAGAAGTATTAAATATAGATTAATTATAAAACCAATTATATAGACGGAGGCTAATTTACGAGACGAATTTTTTAAGCATAATTAATCTGTAATTAGCACATGTTTACTGTAGCACCACGCTGTCAAATCATGAACTAATTACGCTTAAAAGATTCGTCTCTCAAATTAGTCACAAGTTGTGCAATTAGTTTCGTAATTAGTCTATATTTAATACTCCATACATGTGTCTAAACATTCGATGTGACAGAAATTTTAGAAGCCCCGTAGAAACCAAACAGGCCCTAAAACAACCCTTGTTGCGCTGGACGAGGATAGCAAAAAAGGCATTGCGTTTGGTAATCTTGTCTAAGCGTTTCGTGGACCGTGCTGACAAGATTCGGCTTGCTCGTACAGGAGAACCAAACTGGCTCGCCCGCAGAAGCGAGCCGGGTCAGCCAGGTGAGGCGAGGCAAGCCTTTGCCAACAACCAAGCAGATATTCTTGCCAGGTAAAGCTAGGCAAGGCAAAAGAACCAAGCATAGCTATTCTTGCCAGAAGGCCAGAACCCCAACAGGCAGAGAGTCCACAGCACAGCTTGTTTCATTTCATACTAGTCCTTCGGGCGCGCCCATGCGCGCGGGCCACTGGCCACGGGCTGACCAATGGCGAGACGACAACGTCCTGGGCGCATCAGGGCTCTGACCAGACGACGCCTACGCCCGTCGGTCAACGCAACGAGAACCACCCATCACGACTTGGACGGCCATCATTCCATTTGTTATCGTGGACAGCCTCAGCGCGCGTGGTGGCCACAACAAATGTAAACTTTAAATTTTGTGTGAGGAAATAAAAGAGGTAAATGACAAGCTTCAAGCAAGTTCTTGTAGCACACACAACGCAAAGGAATCTTGAAAGGTACTCAACGAAAGATATGCAAAGACAAATAGGCCCAAAGTTCAATTAGACAGTCCAATCCCGAAGCACCCACCTTGTTTTTTTTTTTTGAGTGGAAAAGCACCCACCTTGTTGGATTAGCGATACATCTTGGCCCATGAGGCCCGACTGGTGCAATTCAATATGGGCGGCTCAAACACACCCTGGGTCTCGTCGGCCCACTTTGCATCCAACGGCAACGGGCAACAAAATGGCACCGTGTTACACGAGTTGCACGGCACACGGGAGCCTGTCAGAAGTCAGAACAGCGCTCGTTCGTCCGTCACCATAGAACGCTATCCATCTTCTCACACAAAAATATCCGCGTGACCCCAACCTCCCCCTCCCACTCCGAGCAGTACCAGCAGCAGCCATGGGGATAGCCGTGGTGGCTCCCGTCGCGGCGGCCTACTCATGCTCCTCCTCCTCCCTCGCCGCGCCGCCGAGGGCCGCCGCCGCCGCGGCGAGGGCGCCGAGCCGCGCGCACGTCGCGGCGGCCGGGATGTCCTCCAGGTCGTCCTCTTTCGTCGGGGGCGGCGGGCTCGCGGCGGTGGCCGCGTCGGTGGCCGCGCGGCCCAGGAGGGGGGCGGGCTCCGTGGGAGGCGGTGCGCTCGGGTGCAAGTGCCTCTTCGGGCTCGGGGTGCCGGAGCTCGCCGTCATCGCCGGCGTCGCCGCGCTCGTGTTCGGGCCCAAGCAGCTCCCCGAAATCGGCCGCAGCATCGGCAAGACCGTCAAGAGCTTCCAGCAGGTGAGGGTTGGGGCATGAATTCTAATGGAATGGTCAGTAGAAGCTCGCGATTTGTGGGGGATGATGCGTGTGTCGTACTGACAATAGGTTGACTGGTAGTTAGCAGCTGCAGAAACTAGTGACCCCATTTTGCTCGAGATGCTAAAGTTGGGTCGTCTTCGTAGTACCAATCTGTAAGGCAGTGCTTTGGTAGCACTTTTAGGTTTGGTTGCAACTCTTTACTGATCCCCTGATCTGTCACTCTTCCCAAGTGGTACTGTTCGGTACCCAGTCCTATGCAATCAAAATCCAGGTGGAGAAAGTATCTTTCCCCTCAGCGCGTGTTTAGTTTCAGGAATTTGGGGCTACCGGAGCACGTTCGTTTTTATTTGGCAATTAATGTTCAAACATAAATTAATTAGGCTCAAAACGTTCGTATCGTAATTTTCTACCAAACTGTGCAATTAGTTTTTTTTTCGTCTACATTTAATGCTCCATACATAGGCCATAAACATTCGATGTGACAGGTACTGTAGCACTTTTTGAGATTTTAGGGTGAAACTAAACAAGGGCTCAATTGTTTGGTACCCAGTCCTATAAAAATAAGGTTTGGTTGCAACTTTGAGGATTTCCGTACCCCATTTATTTTAAATTATAGGACATTTTAGTTTTTCCGTATATATTACTTTTACTATATATTTAAACATAATGTATATCTAACAACAACAATAACATAGTCTTTCAATCCCAAGCAAGTTGAGGTAGGCTAGAGTTGAAACCCACAAGAGCCTCAAGTCACGGTTTAGGCATTTCAATAGCTGCATTTTAAGTACTTCTATTCAAACATAAATCTCTAGGTATATCCCAAGCTTTCAAATATCTTTTTATTATCTCTTCCTATGTCAATTTCGGTTTTACTCTACCTCTTCTCATATTATTAGATTGGCTTAGGACTCCACAATGCACTGGTGCTTCTGGAGGTCTTCTTTGTACATGGCCAACCACCTCAACCGATGTTGGACAAGTTTTTCTTAAATTGGTGCTACCTTTAGGCGATCACGTATATCATCGTTTCGAACTCGGTCCATTCTTGTGTGACCGTAAATCCATCGCAACATACGTATTTCTGTAACACTTAGTTGTTAAACATGTCGAATCTTTGTAGGCCAACATTTTGCTCCATACAGCATAGCCGTTCTAATCGTCGTTCTATAGAACTTGCATTTAGCTTTTGTGGTACCCTCTTGTCACAGAGAATTCCAAAAGCTGGTCGTCACTTGATCCACACTGCTTTGATTCTATGGCTAACGTCCGCATCAATATCTACATCCCTCTGTAGCATCGATCCCAGATACCGAAAGGTATCCTTCTTAGGCACTACTTAACCTTTCAAACTCATATCTGCCTCCTCCTGTACAACTTCGTCAAAATCGTATCTCATGTATTCGGTTTTAGTTCTACTCAATCTAAAACCTTTAGACTCAAGGGTCTGCCGCCATAACTCTAGTTTTCTATTTACTCCCGTCTGACTTTCGTCCAATAACACTACATCATCAGCGAACAATATACATCAAGGGATATCTCCTTGGATGTTCCTGGTAACCTCATCCATTATCAAGGCAAAGAGATATGGGCTTAAGGCTGACCCTGATGAAGTTCAATTTTAATCAGGAAGTAATCTGTGTTACCATCGTTTGTTCGAACATTAGTCACAACATTGTTGTACATGTCCTTGATGAGGGTCACGTACTTTGATGGGACTTTATGTTTGTCCAAAGACGACCACATAATATTTCTTGGTATCTTGTCATAAGCTTCTCTAAGTCAATGAAAACCAAGTGGATATCCTTCTTTTGCTCTCTAAATCGCTTCATAACCTGTCTTATTGAGAAGATTGCTTCTGTGGTTGATCTTCCGGGCATAAAACCAAATTGGTTTGTTGATATCTGCGTCGTTCCTCGCAGACGCTGCTCGATGACTCTCTCCCATAACTTTATAGTGTGGCTCATCAATTTAATTCTCTGATAATTAGTATAACTTTGGATATCTCCCTTGTTCTTGTAGATTGGTACCAATATGCTTCTTCTCCACTTCTCAGACATCTTGTTCGATTGAAAGATATTGTTGAACATCTTGGTTAGCCGTACTATAGCTTTATCCCCGAGACATCTCTACACTTTGATTGAGATACCATAAGGGCCCATCGCTTTGCCCTCTTTCATCCTTTTCAAGGCTTTTCTGACCTCCGATTCTTGAATCCTCCACACAAAGCGTCTGTTAGTGTCATCAAACGAGTTGTCCAGCTGAACGGTGGTGTTCTCGTTCTCATCATTGAATAATTTATCAAAATACATTTGCCATCTATGTCTGATCTCATCCTCCTTCACCAAAAGCTGCTCCATCTCATCCTTTATGCATTTGACTTGGTTGAAGTCCCTTGTCTTCCTATCGCAATCCTTAGCCATCCTATAAATGTCATTCTCTCATTCCTTCGTACTCAAATGTCGGTAAAGGTCCTCATAGGCCTGCCCCTTTGCCTCACTCACTGCTCGTTTTGCAGTCCTCCATGTCATGATACAAGCGCTTATAGCATTCCTTTTCCTTAATAGCCTTTTGCACATCTTTATTCCACCACCAAGTGTCTTTCGAGTCGCATCCACTCTCTTGGTCACTCCAAACACCTCTGAAGCAACCTTCCAAACACATGTTGTCATTTTCTCCCACATGCTATTTGCATCGCCTTTATCATTCCAAGGGCCCTTTTCAATGACCTTTTTCTTAAAGACCTTTGATGCATCCCCTTCTAATTTTCACCACTTCGTTCTAGCAACCCTAGCTTATTTGTTCCTATGAGCTTGCACCAGAAAGCGAAAGTCAGCCACCATCGGCTTGTATTGAGCGACCAAACATTCTCTAGGTATCACCTTACAGTCCACGCATGTTCGTTTATCCCTCCTTGTAAGGACAAAGTCGATTTGACTAGAGTACTGGCCGCTACTAAAAATCACTAAATGGGACTATCTCTTACGGAAGAAAGTGTTAGCTATTATCAGATCAAAAGCTATGGCGAAGTCTAAGACTTTCTCTTCCTCCTGGTTTCTACTACCATATCCGAAACCCCCATGAACTATCTCGAAACCTGCACTTGATGTACCTACATGGCCATTAAGATCACTTCATATAAAGAGCTTCTCGCTATTAGGGACAGCTCTAACCAAGCGATCTAAGTCTTCCCAAAAGAGCTGCTTAACACTCTTATCATGGCCTACTTGGGGGCATGCGCACTAATTACGTTTAAGACCATATCACTAATGACAAGTTTAACTAAGATGATCCTATCCCCTTGTCTTCTCATCTCCACCACAACATCCTTAAGGCTCTTATCAATCAAAACTTCTATTCCATTTTTATTTGAAGTTGTCCCTGTGTATCAGAGCTTGAAGCCGGTATTGTCCACCTCCTTCGCCTTCTGCCCCTTCCATTTAGTCTATTGGACGCATAAGATATTTACACGTCTCCTAACCGCTGTGTCCACTATCTTAACTTACCTGTAAGGGACCCTACATTCCAGCTACCTAAACGGATCCTAATTAGCTCGACTAACTTTCTTACCTTTCGCACCCACCGAGGTAGGTGTGAAGACCCTTGCTCATTTTGCACCACATCCGGGCACCGATGTGGCGCGCCACTAAGGATGCGACGATCCGATCCTTGCCCACTTGACACCGTGTCCAGATCGCGACACGGCGCGTCACGGGGGTGACGACCCGGCCCTTGCTCATTTAATACCATACCCGGGTTCCGACATGGCACGTCGCTAAGAGGGTTACGCCCCAACATGATATTTAGATATTTATTTTGGGTTTCATCTCCATTAGAGTGGCTAAGTTTTTACATTGACTCGCCGCGCCTAACACAACCCTCCTCCTTTACCAGGGCTTGTGACCTACTATGCTGGGACACCAAAGGCGTCCCACCATAGGCGGAGTTGGCCCTGTTCGGCTTACCCCATATTCGGCTTGTTCGACTTATTTTTTCAGCCGGAACAGTGTTTTTCTCTCACAACAATTCAGCCGGAACAGTGTTTTTCAGCCAGTTTTAGCCAAGTTTTAGACCAGCGAACAGGACCATAACGTATATCTAAGTGTACAACAAAAGTTTTGTATCTAGAAAAACCAAAACGTCTTATAATTTGGAATGGAGGGAGTAGATAATAATGTTTAGTTTAGGAACCCTGTGGCTTATAAATATAGTGACCTAATATAGCACATTCATTGCAAATTTGCATTTTGGTTCAGTTCTGTTGTTGAACGATTAGTGGGATAATGCCAATGGTAGGAAATATGGCCACATTGCTTTCTCATTTTGACTTAAAGAGTTTGTTTGTTTTTTAAAACAGTGTGACAAGTGGTATGGGTTCAGGGATGTAAGGTTGGAGTGATGGGAATTTCTGCACCTCATTCTTTCTGAACTGCAATGGGAAGTAGGACATATCTTCCAATTTAGTACTTAGTCCAGTTGGATTTAGGCCCCGTTTGGCTTGCTGAAACTTGGCTGAATTGTTGTGAGAGAAAAACACTGTTCCGGCTGAAAAAACAAGCTGAATAGTGCGGATTATAAGGTAAGCCGAATAGTGACGTTTTGGACAATCAAAATGATACGCAATTAGTTTCATCTTGCTGTTGGAAGGGTCATCTTATCCTGACGGGAGGGAGTAGTTGTTTGAGATGGACCTGAAAGGGTGTTATGACTGTTACCTATTCTTGTCTGTTTAGAGTTGTATAATCTCTCAAAAATGCTGCAGATTATGATACGTGCAATGACTAGAGCTATGTCACCCACATGCCACATTACCATTAGTTTAAATTTCGTTACTTAGAAGAACGGCCTGCTTCCTTTTGGCCTCACCTTTCCAAGAATTTGATGGGACTGATTCACCTTAGCATGCACCATTATACTAATTGAAAAGCTGGTTGGGTGCATGCTTTGTGCTCTGTTTTCTGAAGACAAGCTACTGATCAAGTTTTCTGATCAGGTTATTATATCTTTTCCATTTAGTAAAATTGTTCAGTGATCCATCTAACTTCTCTCTCAGGCGGCTAAGGAGTTTGAATCTGAACTGAAGAAAGAGCCTGGGGAAGGCGACGATCAACCCCCACCTGCGACCCCCGCGGCGGTAAGTGGCGGGGAGAAGAAGGGGCTTGAGGCATCAAGCAGCAAGGAGAGCACGTGAGGATCCCGATGTAAAACTGTATTGTGGGCTTCTGGAGTTAGCATCAAATTCCTGTCCTTTTATTTTGACCACCTCGGGGTTTCAGGCCATTGTAGCTATATTGTTTGTAGTTTGTACCCGGAAATAAGGAATAACACCTTGCTGTGTTTAATTACGAAGCTGTTATCTTGAGCATTACTCATTAGTTATTCCAGTCAAGCAGTGGCATGGTGTGAGATGAAATACTGAAAGCAAATAAGCAAGCCTCGTCTCTGTGTCCTAAAAAAGAGTGTATTTCTAGATCCGATTTAAACTAAACTATTTTAAGTTGGACTATTTCTATAAAAACTAAATTAAGAAGTTTTGAGTCCAAATAAATATACTATAACAGTATATTTTATTATAAATTATAAAACTATTTTTATAAAAAATAGGCAAATCGAAGATAGTTTTTTTAATATATATCTGGTAACGAGAAGTGGAGTCTTGTCACTTTATCAGGAATTGAGAGCGAGGGAGCAGGCAGCAAGAAGTGCGCAGCGTGAAGAACTGAAGAACCTGGTATGCGGCGCCGCATGACAGCCACAACGGCAGCTCGTGGGCCCCGCGTGTCAATGACTGCCGTGTCAGGTTCCATGTGAAAAAGGACTCACGCCGTCACGCGGCTACGCCCCGCTCCGAAATAAAGCTCGTAACGCCCCCAATCTCCGGAAGAGGTGAAAGCGGAAGCTGGAGAAATATCCCCCATGGCTATCCTCGCCGTTGCCTCTCCGCTGAAAACCCTAAACCCTAGCCCGGCGGACCACAGCCGCATCCGCATCCGCCTCTCCTCTTCCCTCCTCCACCTTCCGCTCCCGGTGCCACGATGGCGCCGGCTCCGGTGCTCCGCGCAGTACAGTGAGGCGGCGGTGCCGCCCACGTCGACAACGACGCCGCGGCCGGCGGAGATACCCTGGAGCAAGGAGCTCTGCAACTCGGTGCGGCTCATTGGGACTGTGGGCACCGATGTCGAGCTGCGGCAGCTGCCCAGTGGCTCCGCTGTTGCGAGGGGTCGCCTCGCCGTATGGAAGTCGGCCACCGAGACTACATGGTATTACTGATTTGATTGGTGCTACGCAATGCTAATTCTTCTTCCATTTCTAGCGTCGCCTATTTATGCCCCTATTATTGGGGGCCGGAAGTGGGTTCGACTATCTGTAGCTTGTCGGTCACTCGAAGCAGGCTTGTAGCTTTGTGAGTGTGGGGGCGTGCGTGGATTTTGGAGAGGTTGGCTAAGGCATTCGGTAATATGTTGGCTAGAGCAGTTTGTGCAATTGGTGGATTGTAGCAACTAGCAAGATGATTGTTGATACCATGGATTTGAGTTTTGTTTACAGACAGTGTAGTTCTGCCAAATTGTTTTGCTGCTTATACAGTGAGGTCAGAAAATGCTAATGAAATTGTGTAACAATTCTTTATTGCAATTGAGTTACACCTTTAGTTAAATAGGGACTTTATTTTGGAGCAGTGAATATTTATCAGTATATGCCCTTAGGCTGTCTGCTACCTGCAAATTTTTTTCTTACAACCTGACAAGATTCAGTAATCTATTTCTGTTGTACCCTCTGTTTCAAAGGCGTTGCCTAGGTGTCCAGGGTACCCAGCTTGCCTTGGGGAACAGTGTTCGCTCTCGCCTGGATGCCTAGTCACCTTTGAAACCATGATTGTACTATGATGATAAACAAATGAGTTTCGATTTCTGAATACCTATTGTATCAACGGATTAAGCATTAGACTGAGTTCTGACTTGCGAGGCTCTCCATAAAAAATTAACACTGCCTTATTTGCGCGCGAACACACACACACACACACACACACACAAAAAGTTAACTCTTAAGAGCCAACCAAGCCCAAGCATACAACAACAACAACAACAACAACAAAGCCTTTAAGTCCCAAACAAGTTGGGGTAGGCTAGAGTTGAAACCCAGCAGAAGCAATCAAGGTTCAGGCACGTCAATAGCTGCCTTCCAAGCACTCCTATCTAAGGCTAAATCTTTGGGTATATTCCATCCTTTCAAGTCTCCTTTTATTGCCTCTACCCAAGTCAACTTCGGTCTTCCTCTGCCTCTCTTCACGTTATTATCCTGCCTTAGGATTCCACTACGCACCGGTGCCTCTGAAGGTCTCCGTTGGACATGTCTAAACCATCTCAACCGGTGTTGGACAAGCTTTTCTTCAATCGGTGCTACCCCTAATCTATCACGTATATCATCGTTCCGAACTCGATCCCTTCTTGTATGACCGCAAATCCAACGCAGCATACGCATTTCCGTGACACTTATCTGTTGAACATGTCGTCTTTTCGCAGGCCAACATTCTGCACCATACAACATAGCAGGTCTAATCGCCATCCTATAAAACTTGCCTTTTAGCTTCTGAGGTATCCTTTTGTCACATAGGACACCAGATGCTTGCCTTCACTTCATCCACCCTGCTTTGATTCTATGGCTAACATCTTCATCAATATCCCTGTCTTCCTGTAGCATTGATCCTAAATATCGAAAGGTATCCTTCCTAGGCACTACTTGACCTTCCAAACTAATATCTTCCTCCTCCCGAGTAGTAGTGCCGAAGCCAAGCATGACTGCATGATTTGTCGATATACATATTTCTAGCTATGCAGGTAGATAATACTGCCTTTTACATCCTCTCAGAGCCATAAATGATGAGTATTTTTTTAGCTGAAAAATACAGTCTGCAGTACTTGTTATTTAAGTGTTTAATGGGGTCACTGTACTATAGGGTAACTCTACAATTCTGGGATGATCTGGCTATTGTGGCCTCTGAGCATGTTAAGAAGGGTGACAGGATATTTGTTTCTGGACGGCTTGTCTCAGATACTGTTGATGAGGGGCCTGAGAAACGGCACGTTTACTACAAGGTATTACATGCTCATTTTCATTATCCCTCTTTTCTGTGATTATAATGGAATTAATGGGTACACTCTTTCTCAGCTTGCAGTTCAACAGTTGAATTTCATTGAGTCCCAGCCAGTTCGATTATATGAACCAGAGGCAAGCCAGGATGCCCCAGGTGTGGATCTCAGTTAGGCTGTGAAGCCTTTTTCTATCATAAAATTGCTGCCTTTTCCATTCTTGTCTACCTATGTTTTTGTGAGATGTAGTTGTCTGTGACCCGTGATGACTTGTTCCACTTTTTTAAACATTAGTAGAGATGTTTGGACTGCTGCCAATTATTTTGGAACATTCTTAGCCTTTTTAGATTTGTTAACTTCTTGACTGCTTGTGTTTGATTTCTATTTGATATGTGCTTTTAATTATCTATTAATTAGTAGTGGACTCCTAATTGCATGCATGGTTAATTAGTTTGAAGCTTAAAGTATTGAAATATAGCTTATGCAAGTTCTTAGACTGGCACATATCACTTTCATCCACTGTTTGCACATGCAAAAATCGTGCTAGTAGTATGTAATGGTCCTAGTTAGCTGCAACTGCAAATAGTACAAGAGAGAGCAGTAGAGAAAATAAACGCAGTGAGAATCAAGTTAAGTTGGCTTGCAAGCTTCTGGGCAGGTGTTTCCTGTATCCACAACTCCCGAATGTTTTGGCTAGGAATCAATGGGAGAGCTAATTCTTCCATTGACTTGCCAAAGTTCGGTGGTACTCCCAACAAGAACGAAATTGCAAGGGCATGAACCAAACTTGACCTTATATATTCCGTTTTCTTAAAATATATCAATCCTTAACATGCGAACAACCTTTTGCCTGGCTGTTGGTTATAGCATTTTAAGTTGTATATCCAAAGTCCACCAAAGTTTCTTTTTAATATTGGGATTACTAATTTTCTTGTAATATATAATTTGATATGCTGTTAACCTTGCTACTTTGCCCCCTCATTTATATGTATGTGAAAGTAAACATTGCTCATGATAGATCCCATTAAACAGCATGCTTCTCAAAAGCGTTTGCCAAAGTTTCAAAATTTGATTTTCTGGGTGCAAGGTAGGTAGTTGTCTCTAGAAAGGCGCAGAATCATTCTTGAGTACTCTTGCAGAAGCAGTTGTTTGATTTAGCTGGCTGACTTCAGTTCATGAAATGTTTTATTAGCCAATGATGCACATAACTTGGTTCTAGGTTGTTTATTAATGTAATGAAAATTCATAAAAGGTAAAAATTAACTCTTTTTTTTTGTTGAATCAAAGGTGGAAGGCATGCTGATTATTTTAACTCTACCTCTAATTCAACTGAGGATAAGAATAGGGATAATATGAGCTCTTCTCGATCAACTGAAGAGCTGTGGCAAGCGTTCTTTGCTAATCCTCTTGACTGGTGGGATAACAGGACAAATAAGGTTAGACTGGGATTGTTTAAAGTTATAACCACCTGTCATTTACATGGTAACAGTTACCTTGCATGTGAATAACTTAAACCTTCTTTTTGAGCGTATGCTAATTTGCAACAACAACAACAACAACAACAAAGCCTTTAAGTCCCAAACAAGTTGGGGTAGGCTAGAGTTGAAACCCAACAGAACCAATCAAGGTTCAGGCACGTGAATAGCTGTCTTCCAAGCACTTCTATCTAAGGCTAAGTCTTTGGGTATATTCCATCCTTTCAAGTCTCCTTTTATTGCCTCTACCCAAGTCAACTTCGGTCTTCCTCTGCCTCTCTTCACGTTACTATCCTGACTTAGGATTCCACTACGCACCGGTGCATCTGAAGGTCTCCGTTGCACATGTCCAAACCATCTCAACCGGTGTTGGACAAGCTTTTCTTCAATTGGCGCTACCCCTAATCTCTCACGTATATCATCGTTCCGAACTCGATCCCTTCTTGTATGCCCGCAAATCCAACGCAACATACGCATTTCCGCGACACTTAGCTGTTGAAAAAAAGAAAAAAAAGAAAAAAGAGAACTCTAGAACCAAAGAGAAGTTCAAATATTTACTGGGTGGGTGAATATTGAGACGGGAGTAATAAACAGCCAAATGCGGTTATGAAAGATATTTTTTCCTAGTGATTTAATGCTTAAGTTCTGCACTTCTTACTTTAAATTTAAGACTAGTGTACTAGAAGGGTTCTGCATTTTGTATGTTGGAGTTATCTTCTGACTTTGGAACCTACCCTTATTTCCTTTCAATTTAACCAGAAGAGACTGCACTAAAGTTTCTAATTTAGAACAGTGGAAATAAAATATCTAAGTCACAGCTTAATCAACATAAGTATAGTGGCTGTAGTACTGCTTGAGTCATGCAATTGAATTTAGTTGGTTTAATCCCATTGCTATATGCCATGCAGAATTAAAAACAATCACTTGTCCATCGTCCTTAATCTATAAAGAAATCTAGTACCAATATCAAATTAAATTCAATCTTGCGGCAAGAGTCCAAGACCTGTCATCGGCACATAACACTCTATGCTAACGTTCAGTGTGCTTGGAGATAGACTTGATATTTACATGTTTTTTCTTAAACATTTTTCTCATATTCATGTACCAGGCATGCTGTTATGTGTCAAGCAAATAATAAATAAATGCAATGAATGGACCGTGACTAGTTTGGTCCATATTTTAATCTGAATCGTCTCCAGTAGAAGCTAGAAGCTACTTTGACTTCGCTTCATAATACACCTTTCAGAAGGATCATGTTGTTAGGTTGATGTATTTGTTTATGTACTTCAGTAATTTGTCTGTCAATTTGTTTGTAAGAGGTCTGCTCAACATTTGCTTGACTTATGACCTTAAATCATGTAAACAGAGGAACCCAAGGTATCCAGACTTCAAGCATAAGCACACTGGTGAAGCACTATGGGTTGATGGGAGGAACAACCCCAACTGGGTCATATCTCAGCTGGCAGTTTTGGACTCAAGAATGAGTTCTCTGCAAGACAATGAGAGAAAACCAGTCTCTTATATGTATGCTGATGAGTTCATGACAATGGACGGCACTCGATAGTCTTTATGAAGGAGGAAGCTTCGCAGCCCCCATTTTTTGTGCAGCTTGGCTGTCTGTTATGGCGAGATCGTGCTGTTGGAGTAGCTAACTCATGCTTGCTATCTCAGTTTTGTTGTACATATACATATCTGAGCGGCTCTGGAGGGTTGAGTGTTACGAGTTTCCGTAGTATTATTATGTACTCTGTAGACTGTAAGGTAGCTATGAGCCTATAACAAACATAAACGAAGTGGGAGAAAGCCAAGCATTTACTGACTATCGTAGATCTGTTGGTTGTGTGTGTTGGTTTGTGACATGGTTTTAAAGTTTGAACTGTGCTGTTACGCCGAGTGGTAATGGTGGGTAAACCGTGGGTTCTCATGTTCAAATTTATATGTTTCTCGTTGGAAGGATGTGCAAATAAATCTAATGCCCCATTCCTCAGGTAGCCGGTAGAACAAGAGCAGGGGATTTGGCAGTTTGGTACCCCTGGCTCTTGGCCTTTGGCGTCATAGACAGGGAACTGAAACGGGATATAATCACCAAGATACGTAGTATATATGCATGTATACACTGATTTTTTTCCGATACACACGATGTGGTCAGAAGAATCTGCGCTGAAGCATTTTCTATGCGTGCAGCAGATGGACCTGCCGTATCTCCAGGCATCATGCACGCCAGCAACCATACAGACCGCAGCATCCCAGAAGGTAGACGAATAGTTAGAAGATACAGCTGCCGCTAGAGCTCCAAAATTTATATGCCGTATTTCAGGGACAGGGAGGAGCATATTGACTTGGCTATTTTTATTTTCCTTCTGAATGACAGATAGCCGCGGATAGAGACCTGGCAACCAATCAGCTATAGATTAGCTAGCAGTTCCCTGATGCCAATGGATGCTTCGGTGATGCAGCTCTCTCATGTGCGGCCACATGCTCGGTGTCCGCCGGTGCCTCGACCGATGCATGTGTTGACAACAAAACGCAGTTACGCAGGCAGGTCGTCGGCGTTGTGTCTGCGCTGTGTTTCCTTGACCGATATCGATCGATCTCGGTGATAACCTTGTTTTCTCGTTTGACTGAGCTCGGTCACTCACATTGGTTAGGTTTTTTTGGATCTTGAGATCAGCCACCATCAGATTTTAATCCTCGGGTCGCACATGGAATGAACATGCCACGATGATTTGAATCAGGACTTTTCGTTTCAAGTCAAAGTGGATCGTTTAGAACAAGTCGCCCTTTGTTTTGGCTGATAACATGACTTGGTTGATGTCAACTGTTGTTAGGAATCAAAAGGAAAGAGTGCAGTTTTTGCATTTTGGATAGGCTATATATATGTTGCAGCTAGCTTTGTTAGCCTTCTCATCTCTTCTCTGTATAATTTGCGTTGGAGTCACTCCAATGGACAAACAAAATACATGGCATCAGAAAACGAAGGCATCAAAACGCTAAACAAGTTGTGTAGAAAGAAAGGAGTAAGGGAAAGCTCAAGAGAACCGGATCTTCAGGTAATTAATAATCAACGATCAATATAACTGTATTGTTTCGTTTGTACAAACACATGGAGAGTAAACTGAAACAACCTCAGCATGCATCTCCTTTGTGCTTCTAAAAAGACCTAATCGTCTTACAGAATCAAAGCCGCACACATCCGTGTATGCGCTTCGATACACCAAGCTCATCCTTTGGCTTGGGGATCCAACCAGAAGAACAAAAATAATGAAAAGGAAAAAAAAAACCCCAGGAAGGTCATGACGACATGTTGTCCGATCCGGTCCTCAGATCAGATGGATCTTCACTGCCTCACTGATCCCAGGCCTGTGGCTTCAGATCTCTTCATGATCCTCAGCTTCTTGCAAGTGCTAGTGAACATCCTGCAAACCAATTAAAGAGCATCATCAGTAATCTTGTTCGTAACATAAAAAAAAGCTCTTATCAGGTTGCCTCTCGATCAGAACAGTCGAACTGTCGAACAGAAGATGGAATAATGGAATACTTACTCGAATGGCACGTCTCCGACGAGCATGAGGTCGCCGTCCTTGTCCTCGTAGGTGACGGCGAACTCCGACAGGTTGGCGCTGCCGCTGTTGGAGACGAACATGGACTCCAGGGCCTCCCGAAGCTCCCTGTAGCCCTTGTACATCCTCAGGTCCACCTTCCTCAGGTACGGGGCGCCGTCCATGCTCACTTTGACGAAGGAGCCGACGACGACGCTGGCCGTGGTGTTTGCGGCGGCTGCGGATGCCGCCGTGCAGCTGGGTGCCGCATCCTCTTTGGCCGCCGCCTGCTTGCTGACCTGCTGCTTGCTGCTCGCCTGCTGGAAGCAGCTCTTCCGGTACGACCTCACCGGCGGCCAACCGACCACGGGCGCCCTGCAAGAGTTGACAAGTAGATAGCGTGTGAGGACCTGATCATGCAGAACTGCTACGACGAGAGACGGTTCTTCTGAGAACTTTGGTGCTGTGTACTCACTTGGTTGCCGGGGGTGCTGCTTCGGCGTCACGCTTGTTTGCCTCCTCGGTGGCCGTGGTGTCCTCCACGGCATCGGTGGTGGCGCGCTTCTTGCCCCTAGGCGTCGACGGCGGCGTGGCCTTCACCTGGGTCTGCAGGCTGCTGTCGTCGACGGTGCCCGGCAAGCCAAGCCTCAGCTCGGTCGCCATGAGGTCTCCCACAACGGTTTCCATGTCCCAACTACTTGTGAACACGCACTCCTCCGGCCGGCGAAGAGTAGTTCTCCTTCTCCGGTTGAAGCTAGCTCGATCTCTGCGTCTGTGAGCTAGCTAGAATGAGAAGGATGTGATGATGAGCTGGTGTTGTGTGTTTGGCCTCGGTGCGCATGTTTTATAGGAGGGAGGGAGGAGAGGTGGCCAGCCAGGCTGCCAGGGAACCGGCCGATCAAGGGGAGCCAGAGGCGACACGGACACATCACACATGCATGCAGCGACGTCCTGGGCGTGGGCGCAGCCACGAGCGGCCTGCCGGGTCGGCCGGCGACATGGATTCCTCGGTCGACGGGGTCACGGCGCGCCGGGGCCGTCGGATGCGGAGGCAGCCCATGTGGGCAGCGGGGCCCGCCAGCCGCTGGAGGGATACACATATCATATCTATAGTGTACACATTACATATAATAACTATGTTTTACACGTTGGGTGGCTTCCCTTTGGCCATGAATGTAATCATGCTATACACATATATCTAATCACTAATCTAATTTCCTCCATTAGTTGGACCAAATGGGTGGCTGGATACGCGGTTTTTCGGGTCCCAGGTTGATTATTCAATTCAGCGGAGAACATGGCGTGTTAACGGGTTGTCGCTCGTGACGGGTTCGGTTTGTAGGACTTATTTGGTGATCTGATTTTATCATCACATCACTAATATATATAGTTGTTGGGTGCGCTGATCTGATCTGAGGTATGCTTACCGGTTCGCAAGGCGAATAAACCCGGTGTTGAGCGACCCGATAACCCGGTTCTATAGGTGATATATGAACAATAGGGATGATCAAGGAGGAATAGAAAAACTACTAGTGTGGAATGATTACTAGGATGCTATGATTAGAGATATTGGGGAAGCATCTCTCGCGCATTATTATGAGCTGTTTCTTCCTTTCCGCCCTATCGATCGCATGGAGCATTAACTAATATACACGGGTTGAAAATGACTATTTGTATCGCGGAATATAGGGGCACTGTCCATTGCTTTTGGATGCATATATGCATCTCTTTCTCTTTTTCCCATATATCGTTGAGTAAATTACACCCAATGTCCATCATTGCACGTCACCTTTGTTCATACTTACTCCTACATTTTAAGGTTAGACAATGGATATATCAAGGAATTTTATTTTCGCATGATTGCACCGACTATGTCTAAAATACGTGTAGTTGATCATTGGAAAAAAATGATGGCTGCGGTACACGTAATTTGCGCACCTGTTTTGGTCGGATCAACATTTAAAGTGGTGTTTCAATTCACAGCATAAAAGGGGCTCTCTATAATACCACACTCCTAAATAACAACCATGAGTAAATTAAAGCGCATGCTATTACCCCATGGTTCATAATTCTATCCTCCTCTCTCCTCATCTACTTATTCACTTCCGATCCTCCACTTCTTTTTTAACCACTAGATGAGATACTATTGTTCAGCAAATCTCTCTTGCTGTTGCTGTTGCTTCTTTTGGTTTGGTAAAGGTCCAACAAAGCCAAGTGGGAGTTGTTTGTTTAAAAAATCTTCACACACAAAGCATTGTTTGGTTGGCTGTGCTATTCCCTAAACAAAGTGCACTCCTGAGTTTGATCATGAAAACATGGTCCCACTGTTTAAAGATTTAGCTCATAATTTAACACTGCGTATCATGGTAGTCGGGACTAGTTGAATCAAACTACACATACCTTTTGGAAACCACACTTAACGAGCAGTTCTAGAAAAGCAAAAGGTTAGTGCTTTCGGAAACAAACTTGTCTTGTACTACAACGTAGGCAAAATCATGCACACCAGAATTCACGGGATTGTTTGAAGCCGGATATTTTATTCATTATCTAAAAGAATAGAATTTAGAAATATACTTGGTATATAGTGCAAACAAAATCGTCTAAAGCTTTTTTTGAGGAAAGAAAGAAACCTTTATAAATTAGTCAGAAATAACATGACTCACCATCACTAAAAGGCAGCTTGCATTTGTTGCAATCCCTAGAGCTTAGGCTATGTGTTTAGCTGAAACCACATAACTTAAGCTCTGTAAGTGTTTGATGAGAAACTAGATATGATAATCATTTCTTGCATACTTGTATACATAGTACGAACGGTAACACACATGATGCATACCTTGAGTTATTTTTTTTCATATTAACAATGGCTGAAATGGATAATTTAGGATCATATATATACAAGTACTTTGAAATATTTTCTATTATGACTTATGTAGGTAGTTTAGATGTATATTTAGGTTGTTACTTTAGGTTATTTTCCATAACGGTGGAGGTGTGTAATTTATATGCAATTTTTGGGGTATAAGTG